TTATATAAAACTTTCATGATGAAACTTAAGCTGATTTTTTAGAATAAATGAAACTATTTTTTAAAAGCAGAGAAGACTAGGTAAATGGTTCAGTAGATAAAGTACTTGCCATGCCAGTCTGATGATCAGAATGTGATCCCCAGGACCCAGATAAAAGCCAGATGTAGCAGTGCAAGCAGCTCTAACCCCAGAGCGCACCTACCACGAGATGGAAGGCAGAGGAAGGAGAATCTTTGAACATGGGGGCCAGCTGGCCTGGCTTACTCAGAATAAAAGAGACCCAGTCTCAAATAGTGGAAAGGTAGACCTGCACCTGAGGTTGACCTCTGACCTTCACACGAGTCAGGCACTTGCACATCCACACATGCTCTCTAGCACACACACAAACAAGCCACACACAGAGGTCATAGGCATTAGACCTGAGATAAAACTAAAGAAATGATGAGAAGTAGGCAAAATATAACTGGAAATACAAGTATTTGCTTCAGCAAAACTAAAGTAACCCAAACAGATTGTTGAAGTAGTATTGACTAATTGCTGGCAATGGTATGATTTGGGAATGCTGGCTAACAAATGAGTCATCTGCGAGGAAGTAATCTCAATTGAGAAAATGACAGCCGGGAGGTGGTGGGGCACGCCTTTAATCTCAGCACTCGGAGACAGAGGCAGGCGGATCTCTGTGAGTTCCAGGACAGGCTCCAAAACAATACAGAGAAACCCTGTCTGGAAAAACAAAACAAAACAAAAAGCTACATTTTCATTAGAATTTACCATTAAAAAGCAAAACTGAGATTAAACCCAGGGCTCCCAAAACTAAAGCTCTCTCTTCCATATATTTCACCTATCCTCAGTTATTATCAACCTAATTCAATGTGCTTTGATTCTTACATACCCTGAATAGCCAGTGAATGACTAAGGAATAGCCTCTCACATAGACTAAACACATACATCTCCTGAAGACATTGTACAGGACACAAGAGAAGGCTACAGCTGGACAAACTCTAGAACTGAATTCTTTACAAGGGCCACATGCCTCCAATTCTACAGTCTAGACTGTGGAAGAGATGCAATGGAAATGAAAATGACGAGTCCAACCAAATCCAGTTACTGCAGTGATCATGCAGTGCATACTGCAGCAAAGTCATATGCTGGCAGCTGAGACGGGCCAAAGAAAGAAGGAAAAAAAGAATCTACAAACACTTGGGTCCTACAGTTCTAAGAAGCTACAGAAAACTGACAAAAGAGTGGAATTCAGTTCAAGAGCTAAAGCCGCCGGGCGGTGGTGGCGCAAACCTTTAGTTCCAGCACTCAGGAGGCAGAGGCAGGTGAATCTCTGTGAGTTTGAGACCAGCCTGGTCTACAGAGCTAGTTCCAGGACAGCCTCCAAAGCCCTCTCATTCAAAATAGCACAAGTCTAGCTCTGTTGGTAGAGTGCTGACCTAACATGCATGAAGCCCTGGGTTCCATTCTCCACAGCACATAAACAGAGCATAGTGGCACACTGTACTGTGTAATAAGTAGAAGGATCAGAAGTTTAAGGTCATTATCTGCAAGCCTAAAAGGGGAGGACGCAGTAACACAGATTACTCTCACTTATGAAACATCTATCTAAGCCGGGCGTTGGTGGCGCACGCCTTTTATCCCAGCACTCGGGAGGCAGAGGCAGGCGGATCTCTGTGAGTTCGAGGCCAGCCTGGTCTACAGAGCGAGTTCCAGGACAGCCTCCAAAGCAACACAGAGAAACCCTGTCTCGAAAAAGCAAAAAACAAAACAGCTATCTACTAGAGAACTCATTCCAAACTTCTTCCAACCCACTTTCAGATTAGAATTTAAGAATCATCTAAATTTTAGATTTTGTCTTCTGTACTTAGAAAAGTTCCTTGATGGGTTTATTTTTGAAAAATAGAACTAAGTAGACGCTAGATCCTATCTCTCCCTCACAGGAAAGTCATTTGAAAGACATACTAAAGTACTATGAAAGCTCAAAAGTGTAACATAATGACTAATATTTATTATTTACTGCATGACATTCTAAACCCTCCCATAAACTTGTTAAATCTTCATAGGAATCCTATGAAATGCATACCACCATCCTCCTTTTTCTAGTAAGTAAACTAAGGCCAAGAGTTCCTTTCCCAAGTTTACACAAACATGACTTGACAGCTGGAACTCAAACTCAAGCCGTCAGGTCAATGCATTTGTGTATACTACTGAATTAATACGCGTGTAATATAAATCATGTTAGGATATTATGGCACGTGCATTAGGACTCAATAACCTAATTGAACATCCAGCAAATATTTGAATTCTACAATTTATTTTCTAAGACACAAGATCTCGTTATGTAGCCCAGGCTGATCTGGAATTTGAAATGTAGCCTAGAATGGCTCCAAAGTCACTGCTATTCTCCTATATCAGCTTCCCAAGTACTGGGTTTAAAGGGATAAGCCAGCATGCCTAGCTGAATTCTACTTTATTCCCACTACACTACAGTGTCTTTTGTTTTGTTTTGTTTTGTTTTAAATCTGAAATTAAAATGAGACAGATAAATTACATAGGTCAGTGGCTCTAGAGTCACAGAAAGCCAGGTACACAGTATGTCATTTAGTAACAATATGTAACCAGTTACTTGACTGTGCTTCAGTGTCCTCATATTTAAGATAGGTATAATACCTATACCACAGAGAATTTAAGAATTAAGTTCATTATAAACTCAGCACAGTGGCCAGTAATTGCTGTTGTTTTACTCTTAGCCTTCTTAACCATTTGCCATATAAACAAGTTTTAAAAACTTTTGCTCCAAAGCAATCAAGTCATCCTGAATAGGTGAATAAGTATATGTGCACTGGATTTCAAATATCAGCATCTCCATTCCCTGGTACTACTTTTCAATTTTGTGTTTTAGTCAGTGTTGGAGATGGAACCCAGGGCTTCATAAGGTTACACAAATACTCTATCACTGAGCTGCACACCATTCCTTTAAATACTGATTGCCTGACTATATGCTAAAGACTCCTTTTATGTATTTTTCCTAGTGAAACTACAATAGATACAATACTGCTGCTTAGGCGGATCTCTGTGAGTTCGAGACCAGCCTGGACTACCAAGCGAGTTCCAGGACAGCCTCCAAAGCCACAGAGAAACCCTGTCTTGAAAAACCAAAAAAAACAAAAAAAACAAAAAACAAAAAACAATACTGCTGCTTATGTATGCATCTTCCACACACAATTTTTTTATCTTTTTAACTTTTTTAATTTACTTATAGATTACTTATGTATGAGTGTTTGTCTACATGAATATCTGTATATCATGTGCATGCCTGGTTCTCAAAGAGGCCAGAAGAGGGTGTCAGATCCCCAGGAACTAGAGTTATGGGCAGTTGTGAAGTTGTCACATGGATGTTGGGAACTGAACATGGATTACTGCAAAAGCAACAAGTGTTCCTAACCATTAAGTCACCTCTCCAGCCCTTCTTATATTTCTCACATGTAACAATACTACTGCAAACTCATTTCTTAGAACAGTGCTTCTCAACCTGTAGGTGGCAACCTCTTTGGGGTCGTAACTGCATATCAGATATTCTTCATTACGATTCATAACAGTAGCAAAATTACAGTTATGAAGTAGCAATGAAATAATTTTATGGTTGGGGGTCACCAAAACAAAAGGAACTGTACTAAAGAGCCACAGCATTAGGAACAATCTTAGAACTCAGTTTTTAACTTTTTTTTTTTTTTTCAGCTTAAATTTAGATAAGAAACAAGGTTGCTTCACAAGTCAGTTCCAGGTCAGTTTTTACTTTTTTATATATAATTTTTATTGATTCTCTGGGAATTTCACATCATACAACCCCAATTCCAGTCCTTTCATATCCACCCTCCACCCTTGTAGCACCCCAAAATTTAAATTAAAAAAAAAGGAGAAAAAAGGTCTCTCGGTCTTGTTCCTCTATCAATTGTAGTCTTCTCTGGTAGCAGTCACAGCTGTCAAGTCTCCAGTTCTGCCGCTTCCTACCATTCTGTTCCTGCATCTTTCCCGCCTCTCCATCACATGTTCCTTCATCATGGTGGCATGGGCAGCTACAGTGTGTTATGCAGTATACCCCTTTGACCAAGCAGCTTTACTTGCAAATGTCCATTGCAATGACTTGATCTGGTTCAAGGCCCCTGGCTTCTGCTACACCATCAATACTGAACACCACAACTTGTGTTGGATATCCTGCTGTTGCCCACAGGATCATGGAGATCCTGTGGCTATGCTTCCACAGGACTGGTTCATTCACACACTGCAGCAGCTCATAGATGGGGTAGATGTTAGGGTAGGCCAACTCAAAGCCCTGAATCTGGGCCTGTTAGTAGCTGAGTTTGTCAGCCCAGGCCTTCACCAGCACGTGGCCCTCCCTGGAGGGGTAGGACCAGCTCTCATGCCCAGCACCACAGCTGCTGCCTGTCAGCAAGAGGCAGGGTCAGCTCAACAACTTGGTTTCAGGCGGCAGCCCAGACCAACACATCCACATGGCCTTTGGTGGTAACATGGGCCATGGACATCAACACATATCCTGGCTGCAATAGGACCATGGAGCCAGACACGGTTCTTGGCAGCAGCTCAGGCACAGCTATGACCTCAGTGGCTGTGCACGCTCCTCATACTGGTCTGTTCCTCACTGCCGTCACAGCTCCAACTCTCCCTCCCTCTCTCCACAGCACAGGAACCGTTTCGCTTCTTTTCCTCTTCCACCTCTCCATCAGAATTTGTTCATCTTAGTGGTGCTCATGGGGCTAGGGTGGGTGCTTGGGTTGCTTTTAATTTTTTTATTTTGGGGGTGCTAGGGACCCAACTTAGATCCTAATATATGCTAGGGAAGGGTTTGACCACTGAACTCAGTCCCAGCCAATTTTTTTTATTTGATTAGTAAAGTAACCTTACAAGTCACTACATTCAGCTCAGCAAAACATCTCCAAGAAAAGTAATAGTTGTCTTCTTAGAAAAAATTTACTCACCAGACATAGTTGATAACACTTTTGATCCCTGAACTCAGAAAGAAGACACAGGTAGATTTCTATAAAATCCAGGCCAGGCTGCTCTACAGAGCCAGTTCTAGGTCAGCTAGGAGTTATACAATAAGGCCCTCCATCTCTAAAACAAAAACAAAAAAGAAAAATATTTTAAAAGCTTATTTGTACCCTCTCTTAGAACATGTGCTTAATTTTATGCTATCAGACACACAAAACTTACATAGAAAAATAAAACCAAAAACTTAATTTGTTGGAGCAACACTTAGCAAATGGAATGATACAATCAGTAAACTGCATAAAATGAGTATTTGTAATTTTTCAAATGATGGGTCTAGCAGACAGCAAAGGACTAGAAAGAAGACTGTCCCCTTCCCCATCCCATGAGGTGCAGATTCTTCAACTAGCAAAAACAGGTTAATAGTATTCATCCAGAAAAAGGTCACTTTGCATTATGAGTGAGAATACAGAGGAAATGTTGGAAAGATTAAGAATCTGGGACTTGAGGCTGGAGACATGTCTCCACAGTTAAAAGCACCAGCTAGTGGACCTGAGTTCAATTCCTAACACTCACAATGGGTGGTTTGCAACCACCTGTAACTTCTACTCCAGTGGATTCTGACTCTTCTGCCTTTCTGGACACCTGTGCTCACATACATACCTCTCTTTCTCTCTCTCTCTCTCTCTCTCTCTCTCTCTCTCTCTCTCTCTCTCTCTCTCTCTCTCTCTCACGCACGCACGCACGCACGCACGCACGCACACAATAAGAAGAAGAAGAAGAAGAACAAGAACAAGAACAAGAAGAACAAGAAGAACAAGAAGAACAAGAACAAGAACAAGAAGAAGAAGAAGAAGAAGAAGAAGAAGAAGAGGAAGAGGAAGAGGAAGAAGAGGAAGAAGAGGAAGAAGAGGAAGAAGAGGAAGAAGAAGAAGAAGAGGAAGAAGAACAAGAACAAGAACAAGAAGAAGAAGAGGAAGAGGAAGAGGAAGAGGAAGAGGAAGAGGAAGAAGAACAAGAACAAGAACAAGAAGAAGAAGAGGAAGAGGAAGAGGAAGAGGAAGAGGAAGAGGAACAAGAACAAGAACAAGAACAAGAACAAGAACAAGAACAAGAACAAGAAGAACAAGAACAAGAAGAACAAGAAGAATAGAGTATAAAGAAGTAGGACTGGGCCGGGCGTTGGTGGCGCACGCCTTTAATCCCAGCACTCGGGAGGCAGAGGCAGGCGGATCTCTGTAAGTTCGAGACCAGCCTGGACTACCAAGCGAGTTCCAGGACAGCCTCCAAAGCCACAGAGAAACCCTGTCTCGAAAAAACCAAAAAAAAAAAAAAAAAAGAAGAAGAAGTAGGACTGAGCTTTCTAACACTAAGACAAATTCAGTAAAGAGAATTTGTGGGTACTTTTCAATGGTAAAAATTAAGACAGGTAAGTTGGAAGAACTGTGTGACTACAGAGTGCAGCTTGAACAGAAAGACTTATAAGCCAGCTTCTGCACACCACAACACTACATCTTCAGCACTACCCAGTCCAATATTTCTAAAGGGAATGATTTTCAGAAACCACTTTCCCAGAAACTGGACCCTGAAACATTCTTTAATTTGCCAAGAGTAGGAATTTGCTGAACTATCAACAGTTTGTTTGTGTCTTTTTGTTTGTTTGTTGAACTAGACATTTGTTTTTAATCAAAATTTGTTCAAAGTCCTACGAAAAGACAGAAGGAACATTATCCAGAAAATAAATGAAAGCCATCTGACTAGAATTAAGAGTTACAGATCAGCCTTCTTGTAAACCCTCTTTCACACATACACAGCAATGATTTTCAACCTTTCTAACGCTGCAACCTCTACAGTTCTTTATGTTGTAGTGAGCCAACTACGAAATTATTTTTGTTGCTACTTCATGTTTGCTACTGTTATGAATTGTAATATAAATATCTGATATACAGATGGTCTTAGACCCCCCAAAGGGATCATGACCCACAGGTTAAGAACCACTGACATACAGGATGGAAAAACACAGATAATACTAGTTAGTATTTGGATAGCATGTCACCAATTTCAAATACTACCCAATCAGTTATCTCAACTGACCTACTCTTTAATCCTATTTCCATGGACTTGAAATAGTTATCTAAAAGCCGCAGGCATTTCTTAAACCTCTACTGTTAGGAATAATGTGTGGGGAACCTTAGAGGATCCATGGCAGGGGAGGGTGACCAAGGTGGAGGGACAAACATGCCAGGCAGACAGTGCTTAAGTGAGAAGTTTTATTAGAAAGGGGAGGGAAGGAGGAAGAAAAGAAAAGAGAGAGGGAGAGGGAGGAGAGAGAGGGAGACATGAAAAATCCTCCCAGGGGAACAGCAGGAGAATGGGCAGAGGTCTTTCTTTTAAAGGAGTCCTTTGCACCTGGGCTGACCAGAGTACTGCCTGAGTGCATTCTGCCAGGTGACAGGGGCAGGCCATCATAACGCCTGAATCCTTACATCTACCAGCTTCACTTTCCTAATCTGTAAAACAGGAACAATGGTGCCTATTTCATGAGGCACTTGTAAGATTCAAGTCTTACACATGCTGAGTAGCTATTATACAGAGGAGAAAGGGAGGAAGAAGGGAGGGATAGAGGGAAGAGAGAGAGAGAGACTAACCAACCCACCCAGGTCTGGAGAGATGGCTCAGTCATTAACCATGCTTGCTGTTCTCCCAGAGGGTCTGACTCTCTTCTGGCTTCCATGGGCACTGGTCACAGACATACATGCAGGCAAAACATCTAATATATATATATATATATATATATATATGATACATAATATATTATGTATTATATATAATATACATAAGATAAATCTAAATTTTAAAAAATTCTAAAACAAAAAAAAAAGTGCATCCCCAGAGACCCAGTCAAACATTAGCCAGAGCTTAGAGAATCTTATAGAAGGCGAGGAAGGATTGTAGGAGTCAGAGGGGCCAAAACACCATAAGAAAATATCCCACAGAAACAACTTCGTAGGGCCCAAATGGGCTCAGAGAGAGATACTGAACCAGCAACCAGGGAGCCTATAAGGATCTGACCTACCTCCACATATAAGTTTTGGGTTCCTGTGGTACTACTAACAGTGGAAGCAGGGCTGTCTCTGAATCTTATGCCTGCTTTGGGACACTATTCCTCCTACTGGGTTGCCTCATCCAACTTTAATACGAGGGGGTGTGCCTAGTTTTCATGTTTGGTTGATATCTCCGGGAGGCTTCCCTTTTTTTCTGAAGGGAAAGGAGGCAGAGTGGATCTGAGGGAGAGGGGATGTGGGAAGGAGGGACTGGGAGGAGAGGGAGAGAGGGAAAACTGCAGTTGAGATGTAATATAAGGGAATAAATAATAATTTTTAATGCATCCCCAAAATGCCTATCTATTTGACAATCTAACAATGATGTCATTGATTGAGGTATAATTTCCATAAGTAAATATACAGCAATGCACTTTTAAGCCATATGGTACTGGCACATGCCTTCAATCCCGGCAGAGGCAGAGAGGCAGAGGCAGAGAGGCAGAGGCAGAGAGGCAGAGGCAGAGAGGCAGAGGCAGAGAGGCAGAGGCAGAGGCAGGCAGCTCTCTTGAGTTCAAAGCCAGCCTGGTCTACAGAGTGAGTTCCAGGACAGCCTAGGCTACACAGAGAAACCCTGTCTCAAAAAACTAAAAAATTAGCTGGTTGGGAGGCTAAGGCAGGGAGAATCCACAAGTTCAAGGCCTTGCCCAGCTACAAAGAAAGTCCAAAGACAGCCCAATCAACTTAGTAAGACAAAGATTCAAAATAAAAAACATGACTTAAGTATGGTGGGTCATTCCTATAATCCCAGCACTCAGAAAGCTGAGGCAGGCAGATTAAAAACTGAATTGAAGCTGGATGTTGGTGGCGCACGCCTTTAAGCCCAGCTCTTTGGAGGCAGAGGCAGGTGGATCTCTGTGAGTTGGAGGCCAGCCTGGTCTACAGAGCGAGTTCCAGGACAGCCTCCAAAATAATACAGAGAAACCCTGTCTCGAAAGAAAAAAAAACTGAATTGAAAAAATTAATTTACTAGGCCATAGCAGGTAAAGACACCACCAAGTCTTATGACCTGAGTCCAATGCACAGAATCCACATGGTAGAAGGAAAAGAACCCTCCCTCCCAACATAAGGGAATGCTCTTTTATAGCTTTGTTTTGTTTGGTCAGAACAACATTTTCTTATTCTTAGTTATTGTAAAATAATACTGTTGGGTCTGGAGAGATGGCTCAGAGGTTAAGAGCACTGGCTGCTCTTCCATAGGTCCTGAGCTCAATTCCCAGCAGCCACATGGTGGCTCACAACCATCTATAATGAGATCTAGTGCCCTCTTCTGGCCTGCAGGCATATATTCAGGCAGCACACTGTATAAAAATAAATAAATCTTAAATAATAATAATACTATTTACAGTTATTTGGTGTTGTCAGTTTTCATAACTGGACAAGATTTATAGAATTACTCAGTTATGACTGCAAAGCCTCTGATGTCTTGCACCCCTCCCCCCAGATGTCCTCTGGCCTCCACTCACATACCACAATACAGACATAAACATACACATATACAAATTAAACATTTTTTTTTAATTAAAGGGGACAGGGCTAGACAGAAAACTCAGCTATTAAGAGCACATATTGCTCTTACAGAGAACCTGAGTTTGGGTCCCAACAGCCACATCAGATGGCTCTAACTCTACCTCCAGGGATCCAATGCCTTTTTCTGATCTCCAAGGATATATGCATTCCTGTGCACACACTGGCACAGAGATAAACACACATATAACTTAAAAAGAAAAATCTTTCTTAAGCTGGAGCTATAACTCAGTGGCAGAGTACCTACCTAGTGAGCCTAGGTTCAATCTCTAATATCACAAATAACAAGATGAATAAATATAAACAAAACCTTTTGTTTCCAGAATAATCCCATGGCAATTCTAAAGAACCTAAACATTAATAAGTGTAGTTAAGGGGAAAAAAGCACAAGAAGCCAGGTGTGGTGGCTCCATCCACAATACCAGCCCTAAGCAAAGGTGAGGCACAATGATTAGAGACACACAGTAAGAACCCTAGCAAAGAATCTGAAATAACTTC